TTAGACTGTTTATTTCAACTCCGATCTGAAATCAGATCAAAGTTTAGAATAGGTTATCGATGTCAAGGAATCGGAATCCGTCATAATTTTTTCGATCTGAGCTCCCATTGGTCAGATTTTAGGTCCATTGAAAATTCAACTGCAACAAAGTTATACTTTTTATTTCAACTCCGATCAGAATTCTGATTGAAGTTTGGAATAGGTTACTGAGGTCGAGGATTCCGAATACGTCATCATTTTATCGATTAGAGCTCCCATTGGCCAGATATTAGGTGCATTGAAAATTCAACGGCAACAAAGTTAGACTGTTTATTTCAACTCCGATTTGAATACTGATCGCAATTCGGAATAGGTTATCGAGGTCTAAGAATCGGGATCCGTCATCATTTCTTCGATGCCATGGATGCGATAATTGAATGGTAGAGCTGGGTATTTGTGTCTCCGAAATCGATTGAATAGTTAGTGATATCTTATCAAGTGTAATTGTTATTTTAACTTCTTCGATACGTTCCATGCATGAATAGACAAGTAATGTCAATCTGATAAAATGAATTCAATAGTTTCTTTAGTTAGGTATGTATGAATAATCAATTGAAATGGAATTTTAATGTGATTTAATGAATTGGTGTTTCTTTTAAATATATTTGAGGTATATGGAAATAATTCATTTAATGGTAAGTTGAATCTTACAATGTAAATTGCTGTTCGTTTGTATGTTGTTTAGGATGGTCTCAAAAACAACTAACGGCGATGACACTTTTGTCTGAATAGTGGAGAAAGTGCTAGCTCGTATTCTACTCACAACAACTATAGGTAAATATAACACATAGAAATAATGTTTAGCAGCAATTCTATTCGTTTAATGCTTATTTTTAGCCGACGTGGATAAATATTCAATGGATGCTTAAATGTAAGTTTTCTGCTTTAAATATGATCTTTTTTCCGTTCTAGATCGATGGCGTTTTTCGATTTTGAAGTAAGTCTATTTTGTTTAACAAATGATTCTTTTCGTGTTTCAGACTTGGGCGAGATGCTAATTGTCATGTTAGTTTATTGGTCAAAATAACTGGCTATTTGTTTCCTGTGGACGAGTTCTCAATCTTGATATGGAAGTAAGTTTATGCTTTTTGTCGGGTTTTTGTTTTTTTTTAGGAAGACTTATTCACGGGTTTGAGGTAAACAATATTTTCTCTTTCTTGTCTAAAGAGGGACCCCTTGGAAGTGATGCATGGTTTTCGAGTTGAACTGCCGTACATATGGTCGATTTCAGTGAGATAAGGGAAGCCCCTGAAGGCTGCCTTTCGTTAGTTCTTCCTTCGAAAGTTATCCTTATGTTATCAGAGTTTCTGTGAAATGCCAAGGAGTAAACCTTTTGTAGTTATCGAATTGGTTTTGAGTTTGAGCCCAGTTTGTCAGATAGATCTTAGTGAAATATAAAAAGCTCGAAATGAATAATGGTGCATAAGTGTTTTGTAAAAAGTTGCAGACATTTTCTTCAATTTTAAACTATAGTGTCGTAGATTTCAGTGAATTGAACGAAACTATATCTATTTGTGGTTTCATGAAGAGAAGAATCGATTTATCAGGGAAATGCCCTAAAAGGTTATTTTCAACATTATACCTCTTTTCCAGAGTTTTCAAAGTTCAACAATACCACTAGTGCCTAAAAATGGATAATGAAATGTGGTATTTTCCGTGAACTTTACTATCCCGAGGAAATATGCATTCTTGTGAAATAAACCGTTTGGGACATTTCCCTGATAAATCAATTATTCTCTTCGTAAAACCTTAAATAGAAATAGTCTCATTCAATTCCCTGATATCTGCGACACTAGGTTAAAATGCAAGAAAATATCTGCAACTTTCTACAAAAGATTTATGAACCATCATTCATTTCGAGCTTTTTATATTTCACTAAGATCTATCTGACAAACTGGGCTCAAATTCAAAACCAATTCGACAGCTACTAAGGTTTCCTCCTTCGCATTTAACTGAAATTTTGATAACATAAGGATAACTTTCGAAGGAAGAACTAACGAAAGGCATTCTTCAGGGGCTGCCCTTATCTCACTAAAGTCGACCATATGTACGGCAGCTCAACTCGAAAACTACGCATCACTTCCAAGGGGTTCCTCATCAGATGAATATGACTCGGAAAGGTTTATACGAAACCATGTGTACGAAACCTTTTGAGCAGAATTTCGCAGAGGTTTCGTACGGAACCATGTGTACGAAAACCATTTTTTCCATTTACCAAGAAGAAGTTCCATACGGAACCTTTTTTCTACGAAACCTAAAAAGGATCTGACCGTGTGCCCGTGCTCAGATCCTTTTTAGGTTCGGTAGAAAACGTTTTTTTTACAGTGTAGTCTAGTTGAAGAAGCAAATGCCTTTTCTTCCTTTGCTTCTTTTCTCTCTCTCTCTCNCCATTTTTTCCATTTACCAAGAAGAAGTTCCATACGGAACCTTTTTTCTACGAAACCTAAAAAGGATCTGACCGTGTGCCCGTGCTCAGATCCTTTTTAGGTTCGGTAGAAAACCTTTTTTTTTACAGTGTATAAAGATTCGGTCCCTTTCGACATCTACATTTTGTTCAAAATTTTCAGTTTCGAAGAATAGATATGGACTTGTATATTCAACTAAAAAGGTTATAGTTAAGTTAAACCTATTTGGAAAATTTAAAATGTGCAAATGTAATATTAATGATTCTATTGAAAAGTAATTCGAATGTTTCTATCCGAATAATTTAAGAATTACTATCTAGTAGGTACAATATTAAGAATAACACTTGATGAAGTCTAACCAATACAGAAACAACTGTTGTCGTGGTACGGCATCCCAAATTCTAAACACACACCCCACACCCTTGTTGGTTTCAAGGGAAACGATTTTTATTCAAAGTGCACGGTGATAGCAGTACGTTTTTCAAAATCTCATTGCGGTCGCAGTACGGAAGCGGCATGTTTCACAGAATCCCATCGCAGCAGTGGCAGATTTTCAGCCGCGATGAACATCTATGACTTCAAGATATGAGAAAAACTTATTTTGCAAACTATCAGTGTTTTCTTTCTTTATATTCAGAGCTCAGAAGATTTTTTGAAACTCAGTAAGAAGATTCACTCTACAAAAAATAAGTTTCATACCGAACTTTGAAAGGTTCATCCTCTGGGCACACAGGAAGAACCTTTTTTAGAGTGTTTGTACGTTACTTGCACAACAACAGATGATATCACGAATGTAAGATAGTATTGTAGATTTTAAAAGCGTTCTATCGCAACTGATTTAAAATTCGATGAGCATGAAAAACTCAGGGCTCTTGACAAAAGCCATTCTCCAAAAGTCAGACTTTAAAAACGATTGTCACATAATTAGGTCACTCAATTGTTCTTATAAGAAGAAATATTCCGTATAAAATGGCAGTTCATTTTAAACAAATGTTAGGATGATCTTAAATTAAAATTATTTTACTTGGAGAAGACAATAACAAGACATACATATAAGAAAACATGATCATTTCATATCTATAAAGAGCGCTGCATGTCTCAAACGACTAGAAAGAAATGAAGAGAGGAAAACAGGAAACAGCAAAAGAAGAAAACATATACGTCTATGTGGGTGCGGGTGGGTGTGAGTGTGGATGGGTAGGCGTGGATGCACATATTCAAGCGAATACTCACACCAACACCCCGTCTAAAATCCTGATTAGTAATATAAATGGGTAAACTGAACGCATAATATCGAAGCAGCACAGTTTTCAAACGTTCATTCTCAAGGCCAACAGTGTGATACCGACCACCAGTGTGACGAAGATAACTTATCTGGATGTTCATCGCTTGATCGAACCATGAGGCCATAACATACAATATCATCTGCTATATATTCATCCTCTCTGTTTGCACTCGGAATGACCCATTCCAGTTCTTTATTTGTAAAGTTGGGGTCAATCAACACAGTTTTATCCCTTAACAGCGTTTCAGGATGTACATTTTCATTGGAGACTACGCGTGGATTAATACGGCATTGGAAGACAAGTTGATGATATTTGCCGCTGCCAGGTTTTTGCCAAATTCTGCTATACCGGGGATGAGCGCAGTATTCGATGCTTGGCGATACGTAGACGGAAGGGCGCTTCAGGTAGCAGCCGGATGTACTCACCTTCAAGCCCGACTGAATAATCGCACCGACGAATTCGCCCTTTGTCCCATGATAAACAATGTGCCATGTACCCCATAGACGATCGAACTCTGCTTCATTATCGGCTACTTTCAAGGAATAACGCTTCCAACCTGAGAAAAACATGTCGTGCTTAAAACTGAGTTTCAATGCTAGAGATCTTTTGTGAAACACGAACTAAAAGGAGTATTGAAGTGTTTAGGGGCAGAAATTTGAGCCCTCCCCCAGCCCGCCAGACCGTGACAGACAGGATTTCGACGCGTCACAGATCGTGACAGGCAAACCTCAGTACCATCACAGACTGTGTCAGACAGGATTGCGGAACATCCCTGAAGTTATACACGAGTTCCACAGACATCGCCGATTTTCATGATTTTTTGATACATGATTAATGAATATATATTACTAGTCTCTGATAGGAGAATAGTTTGTGTTTCTTTATTATAGTATCAGTAGCTAAATGGAAAATTATGAGTGAAAGTGCAGCTGGTTTCATGAAATAAAGCAGGATTTGAATGATTGCTGAGAGGAGCTACATCGTGTTTCACATTATTAATCTCAAAGGGATTGCGCTAACAGCTTTTATTAGAAAAACTCAGCAGAATGAGGGTGAAAATGAGTCAGAAAAGGGAATATTAATTAGCTTTCATGCAATATCAAGAAGTTGGGTTTTTATCCTACCTTTCGGGCAAAAATAAGGTTTGCCGCCTCGATCAATAGTGCCTGACCAAAATGTGCTGCCAGGCTCGCCGAGTACATGACCATAGATGCGATTCCACTTCGGATTCATCACCTCCATCCCAAAATGCCCTAATGTAATCAATGGCCTAATGTAATCAAGCGAACAGCGTGCTTGAGTGTCGATTCAAGTTTCTGAACAAGACAATAACTTCTTGTATCATTAGTCATTAGCTCTTTAGTCACTGTTTCAGCATGAGGTGGATGTACCAGTGTGTGAACGACGAATATGTTCCTGTTATTGTTGTCATTCTCTTGTACAACTTTAATTACCTCAAACTTGTTGGACGATTGATCGATTTGATAATGGTCACAGATCTGCGAGCAGAATTCTTTTTTAATAGTAGACATAGAAATGCTCCATTCTTCAGGTTTCAATAATTTGTCGTTATTCCAGAAGGAGACAGTCATAGACAGTGAGTTATCTATGAACAAAGATTTCATGAGTCAGTCGAGCACTTATTCAAATTCAGTATATAGAAGCCTTTCACCGCTAAAATGTTTATCGCTGGAAAGAAACATATTTGTCTAAAAGCTTATGTAGGTGTCTCAAAACTTTATCAACCACCTGTTTGAAAAACATTTTCCTATTTGTTTTGGGTTTACATTCTTTTTGTTGTTTCTATACCAAGATGATCACATAAAATTCCTTAGCTCTCATATCCAGATAACTATTTATCCCTAGTATATTCCTTGCAAAATACAAACCATCATATTGTTGTTTCGATTTATGCGATAATTTCCAATGAAGCGCCTCCTTTTTGGTTCTCAGTGTTCTGAAAGCTTCAGAAAAAATGCAGTTTTCTTCTCGCATTTCGAGCAAAATTCACATCCAAGGACACCGTTAAAAAGCGTGTAAAAAATTGCACAAGAAGAGCTACTTGAACATATATTAGATTGCATCGCATTGAGCACGATTGGTGCTTTTGATAATAACTCTATATAGACGTTATTGTATTTTTTATTTGTACAATGAGCAAAGTAAGAAACTTCGCATGATTCAAATATCTATGGAGAAAGCGTTGCTTTACATGATGATTGACTAGAATTCAACAAGTTCACTATACTGGTTTGAAGATAAACAGTTTCTACAAATCAATGAGCGACGTTCACAATTCGCTCATAAGTCACGCGACAGCAAAATAGTACCTAGAGAGAGAGAAGCCATATTAAGCAATATATTGTCTCTCTCTCTCTCTCTAGGTACTATTTTGCTGTCGAGTGACTTATAAGCGAATTGTGAACATGGCTCATTTCTCGACTTCTAATCAATGATCACGTAAAGCACAGCTTTCTCCATAAATATTTGAACTGCGAGAAATTTCGTATTTTGCTCAATTTAAAACTAAAAAATACAAAAATGAGGGGCGGATGGGTCGGTGAAAGTACCAGATACTTCTTCATTCACACTCAAAAATCTCTTATGCAGCATACAACAATGAGAAAAAATGAATTATAGTTCAAAAAATAGAAAACATTTAGATAAAGACCAAAAAAATCGGAAGATATTTTTGGCCGTCTTACAGCACAGCTAAGAATGAAAATTAAAATTCTGGATGCTTTAGTAGGTACTATTTCATAGATTTTTTTGGTTTCTCATTGAGAAGAATTTAAAATCTTCTTATCTGAGACGAATCTTAAGTCAGTACGAATTAACATTTAAAATGCAAACTTTTTCATTAAAGACTTTTTTAAATGTAAAAGCGTATTATAAAAATTTATGAATGTGAGTTCACTTATTTACGTATTGGTGCTTCTTCTAAAGGCTTGTCCCATTACATTGGCTAAAAATGACATTTCCTCAAGTCATCACATTTCTGAGGTATTTTCTTAATGTAAATGTCGCAGGTGGAACTAAAATTCAGGAAAATTTAAAATTCTCCTAGGAAAACTTAAAATTTTAATTTCTCCTAGGTGTACTTAAAATTTCAATTTTTACTGGAGTTTTTCAAGGAAAACTTGAAATTTTAGTTTCTCCTAGGTGAGATTAAAATTTTAATTTCTCCTATAGGAGAATTTTAAATTTTCCTGAATATAAAAGAGTATCAACTTCATATTTTTATTTCCCCTATAGTAAAAATTAAAATATCTTTTACATCCAATGGAATCGATAGCAGATCAAAAAGAAAGAAAAGTGTACATTACACATAAGTAAACGTCGCATATATCATTTAAGTGGATTCACTCTCTTATTTTCATGGAAGAATTTTATAAATTACTTGAGAAACATATTGAAGGCTTAAATTACAAATTTCAAGAGAAGTTTCCTACATGGCGAACATTGCAAAACGACAAAAATTATTCAATGATGTAGTACATCAAAATGAATACAAAGTTGGTGATTTAGTTGGTTTAAAAATCGATAAAGTAGATAGAACAAATGTTACACCTAGAGTACTACCATGCAAGATCATATCGGTTCAAGTAGCATCAAATGATATGGATACTTATCAATTATGTACAACAACAGCCATACTCTTCTCACGATTTCAAGTTCTTGACCTATTAAATTTATCCAAGTGTAACTTTCGTGACTTACGTGATGTCGATTCAACAACTTTACCAACAATGACATTCATTCAAGCCTGTAAAGCTCATGTGAGTGCAGGATTAATTACTCCTACTGAAGCATGTAACTGTAATGGCAAGTGTTCAACAAAAAAATGTCGTTGTCGAGCAGCTAAAGTGCAATGTGGTACTAAATGCCATTCATCAAAAACGAAACCATGTTCAAATGTCTAGTTTAATTTTTGTATTTTCGAGAAAAAAAAATAATAAATTTGATACTCTTTTATATTCAGGAGAATTTAAAATTCTCCTATAGGAGAAATTAAAATTTTAATCTCACCTAGGAGAAACTAAAATTTCCAGTTTTCCTTGAAAAACTCCAGTAAAAATTGAAATTTTAAGTTCACCTAGGAGAAATTAAAATTTTAAGTTTTCCTAGGAGAATTTTAAATTTTCCTGAATTTTAATTTCTCCTGCGACATATATATACAAGTTAACGCGACGGTAGCGTCGCCAACCCTCTACTGAAAGGATTTAGTCATGTGGAACGTAGTTATCCAAAACTATCTAGCTGGGAGACTTCACATTTTATAGCTTCGAAATGATTTTCATGGAAAACACGATTGATACCCGAGCATAAATAGAAAACTTGCTTGGCATTATCACCAAGAAAACGGCATTTAATTGCTACTTACTAATACTTTATGGCGATAGTGAATTTAATTGCATCCGATCTGCTACAGCTCAAGCTATGTTCCGAAAACTTTCAATCAGCTTGATAACGGAGTGAAAAAAAATACCCATTCAGGAGAGCTATGATCGAAATACTCCATCTTAGTAAAGTTATCTTGCTCTATGAGCGAGATATTTAACATGAATCTGCACGAGTAAATCATAGATCAAATCAAGCTGACTTTTCCTAACTCGATTTCGGTTTGCTTTATCCTCATTTTTCTTCGGCGCGTTTTTCGTCCAGAATGCATATAATCATTCCCGGCTGCACGTTCACAGATAGATAAATCTAAGATTTACATCTTTTGAATCAAATCCACTCGCAATCAGGAAAAACTAAACTTATTAAGATAATTACGACAAATATAAATTTCAAATATTTTACACGACTTGAGCAATTATTTCACGACCTGCCTTCGGAAGAACTTCAAGATATCTCTTATTTTCGAAAATTGCTTCAACTTTGCTGATGGAGAAAACGTGTAACTATTCAATAATTCTGCAAGGCCTGTAGTCTTATAATCACAACAGATGTTTAACTGAGCGGTTGGTTTCGTTGTATATATGCGGTGAACGTGATCCTTTTAAACATGACATGATTCATAGAAAGCTTCGCCTCATTCTATAATTATTAGATGAAAAAAAAAGATTACTTTCAAAAGACTCGAAAACAACAGTTGTGGGACTAATTTAATCCAGTTTCATCTACATAATGCGATAAATTCCTCAAAATTTAGAGAAGAATGAGACAAGAATCCCGAGTACTTATCCAGTTCGTGGCCGTTCGTAGATACCCTAATCCAGAATTCTAGGAGTTAAGTTTGAATAAATTCTTCGTGCTACAATAAAAGTTGACACATCAAGAATAAACTGAAGATTTTGAAGAAAGCCTTCAACGTCTTAGTGCAGGTGAGCGGCTAGTTATTGCCAAATTGAGGAACAATTCCACCACAAGATGCCTATAACCTATTCGTAATAAGGTTTCATATAGCCATACGATACATCTAGCACTATAAACATCATCGAATGGTACCCTAAAAAAATTTCCCCTACAAAGAATTCTTATCACGAAAATGCGACGATCTAAACTGCTCCTAATCGATTATAAACTTGCCTAAACTACAAAATTTCAAAAAGCTAACAACGCCCTCGTGTTCTCCGACCCAGATTACCTTCGGTGAAACCTATCTCTACAGATATTGCTTGAGTTTAGTTAAGTTTATGCATCTGCTTTCCTATTGGACGAACGAACGAACGCATTTAACTCGTTTTTCGTAATACTCTCCTTTCAGTAGAGGGAATTATGACACAATGCTTCATTATAAGCCATCACTGTTTATTTTTGAATGACCCCATCCACTTGGAGCCATTCAACAGTGACTACCAATGCGTGATCACAAATTTGAAGTCTGATTTGTTTGTTTTTCTTCATGATTATCACTCTTCCAATGAATGTTGTACTGTTGCTAAGTACAATCCTTCTCACAAAAGTGCCCGTTTAAATAAAATTTAAAAAAAACGAAAAAAAAGGAGGCTAATAAGACAGAAACAAAATGTACAACGTTGCTATGTTGCAAAATGTAAGAAACGAGCCATTGGAATAAACCAAGCAAAGACTGCCAGTCGTACAAAATTCTTTCCCACAATAATAATACATCATTTGTTTCGCCTATTCTTTCCTGGTATGTAAATCATGTGGTTCTAAATGCAGAAGACTCTATGTTGAATGCTATATAGTTAGCATCGAGGCCTAGCTGGTAATCTACTTGTTGACTTGTATTCTGTTTTATTAAAAATAATGTAACTACGGATTCCATGAGACCATGCATACAAAGCCCTTATCCACTAGAAACCGACAAGCAGCACCGCGGATGAACCGTAAAATTTGCGGACATCCCATTCTTTTTGTAGAAACTAGCTTTTCTTTTAAAAGGGTATGACTGTGCGACTGTGGATACGCTTAAAAGTGAAGCCACAACCACCCACACCCACACCCTCAGGAAACAAAACAACAGTCACTTATTTCTCTGTTATTATAGATTTTTGACTAGCGAAACATAACTTAACCTAGAATATATATATATATATATTCGAAAAGAAGAGAGAGAAAAACAAACAAATAAACGAGAGAAAACAAATCACTATTGACCTTTGACACTATATAATAAAGATATCAGATACTAGTAATCAGATGGCCAAGGCAAAGCAATCTGGTGTTAGATCTCGTTTTACAGATCTTAGCGGTGAGCCTGTTGACCACATGTTGGCGCCGATAAGAGGATATCAAGATAAGCCGCTTGTTTCACTCTCGAAAGCTGTTGAACCCGTTGCTGGATTTTTTGATGAAATCGAAGACCACATTTGTGTTGCATTAAATAATTGTCAAAATCCAGCTGAAGAATTAACTCAAGATGAATCAGCTTCCATACAATTATATACAATGCAATTTGATGGTGGCTCCAGTTTATATTTGCTGCTTAATGAATCACTACGTGCTGAAAATCGTGGAGAATTACTGCCATGGTTTTCGTTTCTCAAATTATTTCTTACGGCATTGCACAAATTACCATCACAAAGTGAAACAGTATGGCGTGGAATAAAAGGTGTGAATTTAAGTTCAAAATATAAAACTGGTATGAAATTCGCTTGGTGGGGAGTGAGTTCATGTACTACTCATGTTGAAGTGCTTGAAGCTGATGAATTTTTGGGCAAACACGGGCAGCGAACACTCTTTTCAATTGAATGCATCAATGGAAAATCGGTGGCAAAGCATTCGTATTTCAAAAATACTGAAAAAGAAATAATTCTCATGCCAGGTACTTATTTTGAAGTCATGAGTCAATTAAATCCTGCACCAGAACTCCATATTATTCAATTAAAAGAAATCACGCCACCAATCATATTTGTTAGACCACCATTTGTGAAATCAAACGAGCCAAAGTCAACTCCAGTCGCTCATCAGTCAAGTGCATCTTCATCATCATCATCAACCACAATGAAACCTGTCTCAAGTGCTCCCAGTAAAATCTCATCGAAAACAAAAAGTATGAATGATTTTACAATTATAATTATCATATTTTTATCTATTCATTCTTTTATCAACTGAAGGGTGCTAGGAAAACTCTGATAAAAGAAAAGATATTTATCAGGCAAATAGCTATATAGAATTATCGTTGAATACAGTTTGTAACATTCTAGCGAGGATTATATTCGCTCACAGCTGATAACAGATATTGAATCATTGAGATAATTAAATGTTCAACCGAAATCATTCTTGCAAAACATGTCACTAGACATACATGGAGTTTTCACAGTGATGCATTTGTTAATCGTCACTTAAGTAGTATTTGAGATTTCGATCAGCTGCTCAGTAGAAATTTTTCGTTTTAAATTCTTATACATAAATAGCAAAGCCATTTCCACTAAGAAATGAAAGTAGAGAAGCCAAGACCGATTTTTTGTTTCTTCTCCTTTGGAACTATACGTGCAAATCATATCAGGTCATTTTTTGTCATGATGACCTCAAGAACAGAAAATCGCAAATAACTCGTTCCAACGCATTGTAAACGTATCGAGATCTAAGTGTTGATATCTTTTATTCCATCTTCCATTGAACATTCAGTACGGTCACAGATATCGTTCCAAAAAACACATTGTTGAAAGAAGTTTTCGTTTTCAAGATTTGAAATGATTAAAATGATGTAATGTAAAAATATTAGCCACTAGTCTATTCATTCATAGCTAAAACTACATAATAAATTATAGATATATTTAAAAGTTCAATCGAAATCGTTCTATAAGAACACGCTCAGAAGCCTTGATAGAGGAGTTCTCGTAGTGATAGATTCAACAATAGCTGCTGTGAGTGTATTTTAAATTTCAATCAGCTGCTCCATTGAAACCTTTTTTGTTTTTTATTACAACTGTTGAAGACAGGAAAAAGTGTATATTACAAGCAAATATGAAACTAATCAGATCAAAACGATGTCTAATTAATTTTAAGATTGCTTGTTAATTTTCCGTCAAATTTTTTATTTTTTCGTGTACTCAGCTTGTGCTTCGCACCGCATTTCGTATACGAGTGAAACTCGAATACTGCCTAGTTTAAAAATATTATCTGAATTGTCCTTGGAGTTAGTCTAAATACAAAATAGATGATTAAATTTTAAAAGAAGCTACCCTCAAGACTATAATGTAATTCATATCTTAAAATAAAAGTAATCATTTCAGCTATTGTAATCAAAATTGATCTGAATAAACAAAATATAATATTCTACTGTCTTATTTTAAAACTTAAATTGTCTACTATTTTTTAAACTGATTACTAGACTATATGTTAGGTAGATATAATGATCAGACAAAAAACTAAGAAAAGAAATCGATAAATAAACATCAGTTCAACTAGAGGCATGATAGTCTAAAGGACACACTATTAATTAGTGTGTATTCTTTGATGATTAGCTACAGAACTTTAAAAAAAGTGATATCCTTCGAACAGAGATCAAGCACATGACCATTATCAAATAGAACGAAAGAAGTAGAAGAAGAAGAAGTATTGCAATAGTTTGCGAACCCACTCAAAACGAGTTTGAAATGGATAGAAATCATGTTTTAATGAATGCTTTCACTTCCGTGTTTTTTTTTCAGAAATACTTTTCACTGAGATTTTAATAGTGAACTTATTACACACTCGCTCAACTGTATCAATTTTGAACAAACTATCGATTTTATGTTACATTCACCATTGGATTTAGCATTGCTTAAATGTAGCAATAATACAAATTCTTTATTTCGATAAAAATGACATGACTATACTAAAGTATAATGAATGAAGATAGATCTTAGTTACTAGTACTATTATCAAAACAAAAAGAAAATATCATTGATAAATAGGATTTTTTTAAATTTTAAATTTTATCATAGCTATTGGTGTTGAAATTGTGAAAGTCTAAAATTCTCATTGTATAACGTATCAGTTATATATATATGGATATTTGCTTTCAGTAATTTCTTTAAGCTATAAAATTATATATATACAGTAAATTCCATGCATCTTTTAGATTTAAATTCCTTACGACCTGTTACTTATAAATCATATTTAGTTTCGAAAATAAAATAGAAAAACAAATTAATTATTTTTGTTTTGAGATAATTATATGAATAATAATATTATATTTTGCATGAAATTGAGCTTCAAAGATTATTTGATAGACAAATCTTTTTCATTCAAAACTATTCAAAGTTTCGAATATGAATTCTTAAAATAAAAATAAAACGGTTAATTCTATTTTTGGAATGACTCTAGATATCGTGACGAAGTGCAAGTCAATTCTAGAGGATAGCTGCTTGCTAACATGAAATTGTATACATGCATACATTTTTTTCATATGCTTTCTGATGTGAAAAAATGAATTTAACTTTGAGAATTCAAATCACCTTCATTTGTCTCTACAAATCATTAGAGTAAATCTGATATCAATTCGATATTTACTATCATTGAATTACAGTTCCAAAACTCGAATTTTTATTTCTTAAGTTGACTCTATATGTTTTATTTTAAGGAAGAATTATATTCCTTTCAAATTAAATTATAGAACAGGTTATTTTATTACTATTATGATCGATTCATTAAACGAAATTCTTCTAAAAAAAAAAAGAATCTCATCGATAATAAAGCTACTTTGATCATCATTATATCTATTGCTTCAATACAAAATAACAAAATTCAAGTCAAAGTAAAATCAAAGAGTATATGAATTTGAATACTTAATATTGAATGAGTATAATGAAAATCTTAAGCTTTCAACAAGATGGTTTGAGATTTTCTTTATATATTCAGAAATAGACGTTTTATCTAGAACCATACTATCGAATTAAAATAGAATCAAATAGTAACCAAAAGAAAAACACGTTTTCATTAGATATCAAGGTTAGAATAAGATCATTCCTACGTGCCTATGTATATACATCAAAATTTCATAAATTCATAACAAATAAGTTTCTTTTTCTTCTATCACTGTACTTAGTCTTACAAAATACTATCTATAAGAAATTAATAAAAAAAAACAGACCTATCTATCATGTGAATTGAAAATCTTCAATAACGCTAGAACAATTGGCATCTGTATCTAAAATAACATACGCAGACTATTACGTAATTAGTTAAAAACTTAGAAATATTTATTTGTCTAATCTGAATAGAATGAAAAAACTGAAGAGTGACTCATGATCATTAAAGAAAACATGCCTTTGTCGTGTATCTGACACAATATTAAGAATCTTGTGAAACATATTTGATGACTATGATTTCTATTTTGTCTTTAAAACAAAACAACACATTAGATTTTCGATTGTATAGTATAATGATTTCTTATGTAGTGTCATTTTTTTAAATTGTGATATTTAGTTCTATCTTATTTGATATCACACGAATAGAAGTCAACTTTAAAATTCATTATCTATCTGTTGAATTTATAAAATGAAAAAAAATGGATAATGTGTTGACAGATAATAAAAAATTTTGTTTTGTAAAGAAATTTGCAAAAAAAACCAAATTTGTATAAATCAATTTAAAACTGCAACGAACATTAGAGTTAGATATATGAAGTTGAATAGATAGACAGAGAAATTTAGTAAGAATAACTTGTACAAGTAAAAGCATCAAACAACTAAGCATTTTTAATGACTACGAATCGTTCATTATGTTAACTGATACATAGTTGAATTAGAAGTATCACATAAACATTCACAAATGGCAAGTGCTGAGCTTATTCGAGTGTGTTATTTTCCTATTTCACATAGCTAGTTTTCTGTTTACTTATAATTCAAATAGATACTTTTATTTGTTTTTAAGTTAACATAGAAAATATAATCAGACTATATTTTATTTAAAAGAAATTGTATTTCGTTCGAAAATATCAAAGAACTTTATTAGATGTACCCAGGTCGATCAATTTGTGTCGTACACGGCCGTTTAGTATGCACCGTATTACGGTCGCTTTGCATCGTGCCATAAACGATGGTATACCAAGGGGGAAAGTGCAGGTTTGGAACCCCCAGCACCTGCAGCACCTTTTCTATAGTGAGATTTACTTCAGTTGTATGGAAATGAATCGGGAAAACTACCTTCATGTTCAATAGTAGAGGTGATTTTGTTTTTGAATTATTCACAGAATCTGAATGAGAATTATTTCAGAATAAAAAAGCCAACAGAAAAAGAAAAACATCCTTCGAAAGTAACCGTATATCAAATTCCAAAATGATTTATCCAAAAGTTTGATCCTTCTTTTATTAGCGTGAGAACTAACACTGAGCTCTGATTATTTTTCAGAAGTTTATTTTTCATTTTATCACCATTGCATTTGTACAGCTTGTGCTTTCTCTCAGGTATGAAAAAAAGACATTGCACGAAATCCCACACTCCTTGGTAAAAATAAACCTGCACATAATTTTATTAGCTTGAAAATCATCATTGAATTGTAATTATTTTCCAATTTTATTGTGTATTTCATGGAAAATCAATTTTTAACACCTGGGGTCACCCTTAAGGGTCGAAAAAACGTTTTGTTCTGGTTTTAATATAGATAGTTATATTTCCATAAAGATAAGCTTCTGATTACAAGTATTGCTCAGTTTTGAATTTCATCGAATAATAAGAAACATGAAGACTCTCTCAGAGCCTTAAACAACAGTTACTGACCTAAAGATCTATGAATATTCAATTTATACTGTTTGAAAATAGGTCTGTTCGATGCAAAATGCTTTTTTCTATCAGAATATGTAAGAACGACTTAGATATTCAATCATTTTTCTCTCGATAAATTCCAAATACCACCCCGATCGGGTCATACAATTACAAATACTGCTTTTCTCAGTCTTATTAAGTGTAGTTTTTCGAGGTGTACTAGTAAGATTTTCTTATCGGACACGTAATTAAATGTGCTCTTTCTAATGAAAGAGTTTTTAACTTAAAACTCGATGTAATGTAAAGCGTTTTCGCTCCAATACTAGTGTTGGAATCGAATTTCTGTCATTGCTTGGCTGATACTTAATAGTTTCAAACAGATCAATTCTCATTTGACTGAGTATAAATATTATATTTGTTTT